TGGTTTCCATAGCAACCATTTTGAGTAAAACTCTAAAAATTTAATTTCTCTTCTTGAGTGCAATAGCACACAACTGATCTTTCTTCACCATATTTAAAAAAACTTTTTGGTCCATATTGAGGGTACCATACCACCTTAAGCGACAGCTGTACCGCCCAGCAAATGGGGGAGCCCCGAGAGATCGGCAGTTTTCTACCCCGCTCTTGGCGGACTTGATTCCTATACCTGTCAATCCTGTTGTACAGATTTCAAGAGGAAAAATTAATAAATACTTTAAGAGAATACCCGCAATTATTGACACTATATGTATATATCCCTGCATGGTCTCGCATGGTCTTTCCATTTTGCAAAGAAAAAGGCATAAACGCAATGGAGCTACGTCACGGTTTGCACATCTTGAAACGTTTTCCAAGTTCGTCGTTTGTAATCCGTAGTAATCTTCTCCATCCTTGTTACTTTATGTTTTTTTTATTATCTCCTTGGGTTTTTATTATCTTAGTAAACTGCTTTTTTCAGGTTTCCTTCAATTTAAAGGTTATTTTATTTTGTACGTGACCAAAATAACTCAAAATATCGTGACAGAGCTCTTTTAGGATTGAACATAATGAAAGCAGTGTTTAAAGGGGCAGTGTCCTTGTTATATATATCATGTTTCAATAAGTATGACCTGAAGCTTGTTATAACCTTGTTTTGTTATCATGGAAGATGAAAATTTTAACACCAAAAGTGGTGAGGGAAAAGGAATATCGCTTGAAAAGAACAAGTAATGACTAAAAGTTTCAAAAGTTCTCCAAAATTTTTAGTTTAATTGAGCTTGTTCCTTACTTAGCACCCCTAATTGTAGCTTCCCTCTGTTCTCGAACCGCCCCACTCCCATTCTCTCATACCCCCACCCTGTTCATATACCCCCTTCAAACCCTCTTAGGTTTCCTCCACCCTTCCCCTACCCTCTTGGGTTTCCCCTACCCTCTCCCTATCCTTCCTCTACTCTCTTAGGTTTCCTCTTAGGCCTTCTCTCTTAGTTGTTTTTCTCTCTTGGGTTTTTTTTTTCTTAGGTTTTCCCCCTTACTGGAACCTAGCTCTAATTTCCAATTTTTCCTTAATTTCCGATTTTTCCTTAACTTACACTCCTTATATATATTTTTGGTATTACAGAATTTTTCTTCCTGTTCCCACCGTGAGTCGAACCTAGAGCCTCCCGCACCGAAGTGAAACCCCTTATCTACTACAACACATCAGTTGCTGTTGAAAACTTTCAACAGTTTTTCGATATCTTCCATTCTTAGTCCCAGGCAACTCGGCTAAAAATGTCGAAAGGAAGAGATAAACTTTTATCAAAGCAAGTTTAAGTTATAAATTAAGAGCCTCTCGTGTGTTAATGATCCGTAGTAGTAACCTGATTTTTTCTTTTCGTTTTTCCTCAGCTTGGATTGGCTCGATTTCCGTCAACCTTCTCTTTCTCTTCAGTCCAATCACCAGCTCTCTCGCGGGTCGTTACGGGGTGCGCGTCGTTACAATTGCTGGAGGACTAATAATGAGTGTTGGGCTCTTTCTCAGTTCCTACGCGCCAAGTATACTCTTCTTATACATTAGCTATGGTCTTCTGCTTGGAATTGGAACCAGTCTCTGCGCGACCATGGCCTTAATTGTATCTGCGGACTATTTTGACAAACATCTTTCTCTAGCCACTGGGATTGTAGCTTCAGGAAGTAGCTTCGGAACTCTGGTTTTTCCACCAACGTTGCAAATTCTGGTGGAGCGCTACGGTTGGCAAACAACTTTCCGCATAATGGGACTTGGAGGGATCTTGATGGCCATCACAGGCCTTGTTTACAGATCAGTGAATCGAAATCATGTCCCACTTCCGGCTAATGGAAACCAGTTCTTTGATATCTCGGTTCTTAAGAATAGGGCTTTTGTTCTATGGACTATCGCTACAACTGTCGCTGGGTTTGGTTATTTCATACCTCATTTCTTCCTGGTACGTGAAAAGGTTTCTAGCGTCAATCAGCGACGCGACAGTGATGTCTGTGGAGTTAGGTCCATAGTTTGGAATGTTCGTACCTCAAGCGAGTGAATAATTCAGCGCGCTAAACTAGACTTCTGTTCGCTCAGGCCTAATTAAAGCTTCAGTCCAAATAAACATACAGCCCACTACTCCCTAACAGGGCGCACAATTGAAGGATCTTAGCCCCTTAGGTATCCCTTTTCTAGTGCGCATCCGCAGCTCCGATCAGTATAACAAAAAATATGTCGTAGAGGAGAAGAGTTCCCTTTTGTCGATCAATTAGACCTGGTATAAAATTCCTTCACTCAGAATTATCGAGTACTGATTATTACATTAATTGACCACCATAAGAAAACGAACAGTTGAAGTTTCGAGTGTAAACACACCGTCATTGTCAGCTCTTCGTAGTAGCCACGGTGATAAATGGATATTAATTTACCGTTATATTAATTTACCTTTATATGGTAGACTACAAGTAGTCCCTCTTTCGCTTAGTCCTTCGTACGTTACGCGAAAGAAAATCGCGAGAAAAACATTGCCGCGCGCTGAATCCTGGTTTATTTACGGTAACGCTTGACAGGCTGAGAAAACGAAGCGCCTAGTCGTAGTCTATTGTATGATTGTTAAAGAGACTATCTACTGATTTTCGGAGTTTTTTCTTTCCTGGTTTCACTAGATCCGTTATTCTGAAGACTTGGGAGTGCCGCTGTCCCAGGGTAGTTGGCTCATTTCCTACCTCGGGATCTCTTCGGCTATTGGTCGGATGTTATTCGGACGTGTCTCGGACGTGTGTTCTCTTAAAAACATTCACATCTACCGCGCTTGTATGTTTCTGTCTGGTCTAGCCTCAGTGTTGTGTCCGCTAGGAAACACCTATTGGGCCCTTGTGGTGTATGTAGTGGTGCTGGGTTTCCTAGATGGCTCCTATATAGGGCTCATGTCCATTGTGACCCTGGACATAGTGGGCGTACATAAAATTGCCCCAGCCTGGGGGATCCTGTTTTTCTGTCAGTCGTTTACATATTTACTTGGGCCTCCAGCAGCAGGTAATGTGTCTACAAATTAAATTCTCCTCACTCATTGCCATAAATTTATTTTAATCTCAGTTATGAGAATTTGGTCGTACATCAAGACAATATCCATTCTTTGATGACTTTCTTTATTCTCACCACCTGCCTGCTTTACAATTTATCAATAAGGTAAAGAGAAATTGAATATCGATCACTGAATTCAGCACCTTTAAGACTGACGGAGGCTCATACGCTGGACCACGGATCGAGCTTCCCGAGTTCGTGTCCTGACAGGGGCCATTATCAGATTTTGCCGTGTTCTTGGGCAAGACACTTTACTCTCACGGTGCCTCTCTCCACCCTGGTGTATAAACAAGTGTACCGGAAAATTATAAATGCTGTCAAGCAGCCTGATGATGGCTAAAATTGCATTAAGGGGCCTAATTAGAAATGCACCTAGTCATACAATAGTCGCTTCATGCGACAGAAACGGGAATAAACATCCGCCTGAGAACCACTAAGGTCAAATAACAGACTTCACCAGAGTACCAAGACAAAACCTAATAGAGTTCTTTTTTAATTCTGTTCGCAGGTTTTATGTACGATGATCTCAAAACGTTTAAGCCTGTGTTTTACTTAGCCGCTGGACCAATGATTTGCGGCGCGTTCATATTATTTTTTGCTGCCCTGTGTAAGTCAACTCAGGTCTCTCTCGGCCGGCAAGACGTCACCAGCCTTGTGTCGTCCCCCAAGCACTGCAACGGAGTGAATTCGAGTTATCAGGGATGTCCCACTCCTCCACCTACGATTGTTTTAACCGGGCCTAAAGAAAGAGAATCTTTGATTATCGTGGAAAGATTAACGGTAATATGACTTATCAACGGAATTCGCCGAGGCTCTCAACACCGTGAAATGACTGGTTTCAAAAGTGCGCATGCGTTACAGCAGTTTCTAAGTTACCAATCAGAGCAATCTCGTTCCCTGAGTCTGCGTTACCGCTGAACAAGGGTAACGCAGGCTCTGGGAACGAGATTACCAATCAGAGTTAATCATTACGGCTGGAAATAGCCTTGTTGACCAATCTGAGAGAACACAGGGCAAGCGAGGGCGCGACAAGCTTTGCTTTTTGAATTTGATTGGTTGATAAACGTGATCTTCTTTAATCTTTAATGTTTAATAAAAATTCCAAATTACCTTACACTGAACAAGTCAATCCAATGAATTTGAGGACAGTATAAAACAGAATACAAGATTCCTTAATGTAAGCCGCCTTAGTGTATCATTGTATGATTGGATACCTAGTTAGTTGTATATTCTCTCTGATTAGTATTATTTTATGAAATAAAGTTTTGTTCCCCTTTGTATTTTGTGTCATCTTGATTTTATAAACGAAATTTGCTTATTGAGTAAGGAAGGATCAAAGGTTTCGTGAAAACGTTTCGTGAGACTCAAGACCAACTTCGACCATCCTGATTCCGTGTCATGATTCCGCAGTCGTTCTTGGATGTGTTCCCTTTGGATGATATGGATCAGGATCAGTGATCACTCAGATCATGGTACTTCAAAGAACTGATGAAACCCCTGTATTCATCGGTTTCTTTGATGCACCATGATCCGAGTGATCTTGGATCCCTGATCCTGATCCAGATCACCCCAAAGGAGCGTACCGATGTTAGATCATGAAGCAAAGCAGCTACATTAGTTTTGGGCAACTGATCTGTACACGCGTTATTTCATTTTTGCTTTTGATTTCGTAATTACACGTTAACCTCAGGGCAGACCCCAAAATGGGATATCTCACTTCCGATTTCCTGAGTTTGATACCAGGCCATGTTTCAGCACAAAATGAAGATATTTTCAACATGTTTGAAAATTTATCTTATCCCATGCTAAAATACTCCAAAATCATGCCATATCCAACAGCACAAAATACCCAGGAGTTTTAGCAATCAAGTCAAAAAATATAATAAATGCGGGAACGTCTCATTTCTACGGTGTAGGGAAGGGAGGGGCTCGCTTTGCTTCAGCTTTAGCTTCCTAGTTTCTAGCTTCCTCATCGTTCGATGAGCTTGGCTTGGCTACTAAGCTACTGGGACTACTCATCATTGTTTATGTGGAAAGTTGCCCATAAAGTGGCTTCGTATATTCAGGCAATATGTGATCGGTAATGTCGCACCGTTTCTGCTACTCAGTTCGGTTTATAGAAGAAAGTTCTGCAAACAGAGATGACCACCGCTATGAAAGTTCGTAAAGTACTGATTCCCGCGACAGAGCAAATTGATTCTCACACGGTATGTGGTCGAGTTTGTGATCATACTGTTGGTAGTAAGTCTTAAATCTGTACGTTTACGATAGCGTTTTGTTTGTCGATCGGTTACGAAACCTGCATATCGTATTGATCTGAAGCCGAGATGACCTGTCTATGTATACGTATTTCATGGCCAAAATGTTTGAGATCGAAACAATTTGAAGGAAAAATCTTTTAATCTAATGTCGCAATTGGCATAGAAACTTCATACAGCGATGCAAAATCACCTTATTGCAGCGATTTCGACACAGTAAGCATATTTCGCAAGGGTTATTTGAGGTCGAGCTTTCATGGTAAACATTAAAGTTTTATGATTATTAATCTTTTGATGTTGTGATAACTAGAAATAATAGCAGACTTTATTTATTCAACAATTCAATAACATCAATTGGAAGACTTGACTGCATAAGGAATTCAACTCAAAATGTACAGTGTAGGTCAATTGCAAACTTAGATCAGGGTATACAATTTAGATCTAAGATGTCTATTTTTTAGGTGTACTACATTGAAGTTTACATAAGGGAATATTCTTGGATTGTGACAAGAAGGTATAGAGAGTTTTATGGGCTGCATGAGAAGGTCAGTATTACATGTAAGCTCTCTATTATTCAAAAATATTTAAACTGTGTGATGCAAAGGTGATGAATATGCCAGGCATAAGTAGCTGTATTAAAGGAAAGGAAGATCTTGACAATGAGGTGCTGGGTTATTAATGTTTTGGGATTTTGTTGGCTATTTGTAAAGCTCATTGAACAAGCAAGTAAATTCACAGTCATTGGTCCTATATTTTAAAATCTATATTAGGAGGCAATTTATCCATCTAAGACGATTTGTCTGTGTAAACATGGATAAATCGTCTAGGTGTAAATTTGGTGTTTCACCAAATTATGTGGCAAAACCTGCCTTTAGCTGATTTGTCTGCAGCGGCACGTCTTCAAGAAGTAATTTATCTAAAGGCAGAATCAATAGCATTTTTGCTGGCATCATTGTTTACAGACACAGAGAAGGCATCAAGCTAGACACAAATTGACTACTAATACTTAAAGTGCTTGTGAAACTTAGTACAGTAATTGGCAAATATTTTTGGCTCTTTGGGTGTAATATGCAAGGAGAAATTGGCTTTCAAAAACTGCAAAATTTCTGGTTGGCAAAAGCACTAATGAGCTCATACATTCTTTGTATTCAATACATCAGACTTGAATTCCTTGGGACAGTCAATTGTGCTGTGCCCTTTCAATATTCAGAACTAAATTAAATGTTTTTGTAGCTCCATCAGAAACTGTATTGCTAAGTCGCTAATGAGGCAAATATTGAAAACAAAGATTTTCCTTATAACACCTGGAAGATTTATCTGTCTCATGCGGATGAATAATCATCCCTGGAATATATTTGGCCATTGTATTTCATTATTTTTTCCTTGATCCTTCAATATACACAGCTTGTAAAAAATCATGGAGTGGATCGCTCTCTAATACCTCCAAAGAAATACTTTGGATTTCTTCAGCCTGAGTATGTGGAAAAGAGACGTCAAGCTCTGGAGGCATACTTTGAAATACTGCTGTCAACGTTTGCTGAGAACCTGCCGAAGGAAGTTTTGGAGTTTCTCGAGACTGACAAATTTGTAAGTGATTATGATTTTGTATTACATATAGTTTTTTATCATTTTTGATGAAATAAAACATGTTCTCTTTCAGGGATGTGTGCAGGTGCGTGTGGGAGGGGGAGGGNGGGGGGGGGGGGGGGGGGGGCAGGGTGTTACCTAACAAAGTTTTTTTTTATGAGAAAACCTCCTCTCCAAATCTTACACTTTTAAACAGTTATCATTTTTGACACAAAAGGTAGCCTTCCCACATACCTTTTGTAGACTAGTAAGATGATCTTAAATAGAACAGAGTGACTTGGCCCAGTCAACTAGTACATAGTTACTCTAGCTGGGACGGATACAGGATTTTAGAGAAGGGGGTTTGAGATATGGACCAGCAAAGGCAGTTCCCTGTAAGGGGTCTGGAAAATTTTTAAAATTGAGGCCCTAGGAAATGGGATTTCCAGTATTCTGAGGCCAAGTCAGAGTGTTATTCAGTAATGTCTCATTTTTTTAATTTAGGGGCTTTAACTGAACCCCCAAATCCCCTAGACCTCGTAGATCCACCCCAGGCTGGTGTCTTAGTCAGTTTAGGCTTTGCCCTTGACAATCAAAACAATATCCATATATAGAGGATATTACAC